AAAAAAACTTTGGGGAGCCCGTACGCGGGTACCACGCGGGTTTTGGCGCCAATTTTGGGGATGGGGCTTGTACGTGTATGTAGATTATACCCCCTAAGTTTCAGCCCCGTAGCTTTTGCCGGTCTCAAGATGAAAAATCGGCACAGAGGCCCAGCGCACACACAGACACACACACACACACACACAAACACACACACACACACAGACAACCTCTCGTCAATATGCGTTTTTCGCATTGCATTGCTGCAAAAAAAAAGCGTAAAAACCAGTACTAGTGACAAAATATAGGCAAAAAGTCAAACTCCCCTCCCTATTCAGCTTGCTTCAAACACACACACAGACAACCTCTCGTCAATATGCGTTTTTCGCATTGCATCTAAAAAACGCATACGCACACACAGACACATACACACACAGACAACCTCTCGTCAATATGCGTTTTTCGCATTGCATTGCTGCAAAAAACGCATAAAAACACACAGACAACCTCTCGTCAATATGCGTTTTTTGCATTGCATTGCTGCAAAAAACGCATAAAAAGGGATCTCGAATGCCGCATAAGTGAAATTAGAAATAAATCGCTGTAAAAGTATCGATTTGAAAGAAAGGAGGAAATATATAACAACAAAAAATCGAAGAAAATAATTATGAGTTAAGACAGAAGAGGATACATTTTTCTTGTAGCATATGTAAAATTCAAAAAAGAAAGCGAAGAGAAATGGTCTGCAAGTGAAGAAGTGTGTATTTTAGCAGCAACGGCAAGGGGTGATGAAATCCAGTCGGATAGTTTTCGTGCTTCCAACACACAATAAATTGTGGCTAACTATGCATGTCGTTTTAATGCACTAAGTAATAACAACGGTAAAGCTATTTTGTAAAATATTTGAAGAGCCTTTTGCTTTAGGCAAGACGGACACATTCGCAAAAATTTCTTCAAAATAATGTGTCCGACAAAGCCTGTTGCGCCAGTTTTTAACTTTGTTGATGTAAAAATTAACAAACAGATGAAACTGGAGTTGTGCTAATCAGAATACGGTCGTAGCTATTTTGCATAGATGCTTTGAAATTGTTTGGTCTTGCATTCAGTCAGCACAGAGAAGTCAGTGTTGCAAAGCCGCTAATTGGTTTTCTGAGGTTGCACAAGAGCAGTGCGCAGTAACGGTGGCAAGGGTTTAGTAGGAGGGATGAAAAGTCGAATGGTTTAAGTTCGTCATGCAGCTACACTTCAACAAACTCAAGGAATAACAGCAGAAAAATAAGCTTAGCGGCATTCTTCCTTTTTGTTTGCAATTCATCCATAAATTTTTGCTAAGTGTATTGGTAGTTCTGAGCCAGTCAAGTTTGTAGATGGACCTCAGGAGTTCCAAAGCGCTCTGCCGCAGACTGGAATATGTCGTGCTGATGAACGAGCTTGCGGAAACAACGAATGTGTTAAAAATGAATACATCTGCGATGGAGAGCCAGACTGTCGAGATCGAAGTGATGAACAAGTACTACTTTTCACTTTTACAAGAATAAAAGCTTGCAAACGTTTCAGGCTGCTGCATCTTGATGAAGGGAGTTATAAACTTCATTACTCCACGGATAAGAAAGTATAGGGCGTTTCAAACTGCTGAGTGTTCTCAAAGCTTTAATTAGCTTAGACGATCTTAGGACCTGCTGAAATGCTAGCGAAATTTTGAGAAGGTAAATGTTCCGAATGAAGGTACTGCTCGGTTTTGGTGCTGCAATTGTCACGGAACTCAAATTTTTTTGAGTATTATTTCCATTTAGTACTTTGAAAATAGTACATAAATACAGAATTGCCCGTCGTTTCGATCGTGCGAACCGAACGAATTCAAATGCAACAACGGTCGATGCGTGCAGAAGATGTGGCTTTGCGATGGAGATGATGACTGCGGCGACAACTCGGATGAGCAAGCCTGTACCCATAAAGTTCCATCCGACGGATGCTCTCCAACCGAATTCAAATGCCGCGATGGTCGACAGTGTGTACCGCAAAGCTTTCATTGCGACGGAACTAACGATTGCCACGATGGATCCGATGAGGTTTCTTTCAGACAATATTCTTCTTTGATATTCTGGACTGACGCTTATCTTGCTCCGTTGAGTAATCCGCTAACCTTCTTTTGTGCCACAATAAATGCCCCGTTAATCAATAGGATGCTTCCTTACCTCATTTTACGCATGTCGTACATGTTTCGCTGTAAAGTATGCCCAATGCGAGTTCTCGTTGCATCCAAAACACCATAACCGTCTCAGATCGCTAAAAATACAAACAAAAATGACAGTTTTCGGCATTGCATAATATTTTTTAAGCTGAATTTTAGGGTCCCAATCATTAGCTGATCCAGGGGGAGGGGAGACGCGAGGGCTCTTTCGCTCTCCTTCCCAGCTCTCCAGGAGTCTTACTTTCTTGTTCCTTTCCCTTCTTCCCGGTAATTGCCACAGAGAGCGATAACGGGGAGGGGGATAGTGGAGTGACTCCTCTCCCAGCAGACCGCCCTAAATCCGCATCTCAAATAGTTCCAGGACTTTTGAGCTTGCGACATATGTCTAGCCATTTCATAGTGCATTCTAATCTGTCTTCTGCTACGTGCCGCACTGCCGTAAAATTTCCATTTCTATTTTTATGCGTTTTTTGCAGCTATGCAATGCAAAAAACCATATTGACGAGAGGTTGTCTGTGTGTGTATGTCTGTGTGTCTGTGTGTTCGTCTGTACCGATTTT